TTCCCTGGAGACAAGTGATGATATAATGGCTGTTTACCTCCCCCCTTGAATCCTCCCTGATATATAATATATATTATAGGAAGAAGGGTAATGACCCCTGATCAGCTTCTCACATAACATATAAGGAGGGTGCTGATGTTACTGGTGGTGAAGAAATGGCTGGTGACTGTTAGTAGATGACCCCACTAGACCATGCCATCGAGTGGACCCTCCCACCCCCCACCCCCGACCCCACCCCCAGCCTCCTACCTGGCTTACCCTAAGTTTTCCAGGAGACAAGTGATGGTGTAATGGCCGGTTACTCTTCCCCACCACCCTCCCCCTAATCTTCATGAATCCTCTCTGATATATAGGGGAAGGGTAATGACCCCTGATCGACTTCTCACGTAACCTATAATGAGGGTGGTGATGTATACTGGTGGTGATGTAACACCGATTATCTAGAGAGGGAACTTGGTGCTGTATCGGAGGTGTGTACAGAAATACCTCCATTGTCGACCACAGCAGCCTCCCTCTCTAACCGACATGTACACCTATACCTACTGTAGGTATTACCCGGTAGGTCATGTTTGTATATATTTACCTGTACTTCGCATTCCTAAGATGACCCAAATTGTCCAGCACACCTGTGTGATGGGTGGTTGTACAGATGTGTGTGGTTTTTGTGGTGTTTTGAATTCTACAATATTCAGTTTTGGAGATTTAATGTGGTGATAATTTTGGAATTCTGAACGGCCATGACCAGTTCCACCCGTGTTTGGTCTAGATTTGGATGATTGACTTACCTGTCACACCTGTGTAGTGTATCCATTTCTATATACAGTGTAATAAGGATACTGTGTGCGTTTTTGTGGTGTTTCAACTTTCTACGATATTTATTCAATTATCAATATTCGGAGGAATCATGGGTATTGAAAAGGATGGTAGCTTCATGAATGTGAAATTCGGCATTACGTGTTAAATATGCGAGGTTTATTTTTTTTTGCCCAAATCTAAAGATACTGTATATAATGCTTGTGTTTGCTATGCAGTGTATTGATGGGTAAATGTTTATGAATTTTTCTGTGTTTCTTTCAATTATCATCATTATTCCGTCGATTACACTAATAGCAAGTTCCGTAATTAGGGAAATGATGAATCTTTATCATGTTTGCTGTTACAGGAGGATTTAAGTGTTTGTTTTTAATTTTCTGACGTTTGGTATTCAGAGCAATAGAGAAAACGAAATGTTAATATACAAATATGAACCTCTGATTTTGTTGTTGTTGGTGCTCGCTAACAATGGAGAAATATTCCATTGATATTTGTGTATATATATTTGTAACTCTGGCTTCTGCCAAGCCTGGTGTATTGATGGTATTAATTGGATTGTGATGTAGTGTATGTAAGTATGGGGGTATGTGTAGGATATTTATAGACATGATGGCGTACACACAAACATGTACACTAGCTCGTGATGCTTGTAGAATTGTTTATCGATGATTCCCAATGCAGGTTTCAAACACAGGACCTTTTAAGAATTTTGATTTACATGTACTGTACTGTAGCAGTAGGGGCTACGACTGTACTGTAGCAGTAGGGGCTTAAATTGTTTTAGATTCTGAAGCCAGCTTCAAAAATCTTCAAATTTAGTGGTTACAGCATTGCCTAAACCAAACCTGAAAGATTTATAAATTAACCCTTTCACCACTGTAGATCATAATGGATTCATCCAGATCAATGCATGGTAGAGTCTACTAAAGTTATATAGGGGTGAAAGGGTTGAACCAGACATTCAGCTGTAGATCTTACTTTAATGGAGTTTAATAGATGATAAACTTGAAGTTGATTTATAATTTTATTTGACTTTGGATTCAACTGTCACATTTTATGTGACAAGTACATGAAACCTTTGTTCATGAATGCGATATTTTCAAATTCAAATCTTATTGAGTAATATTTAAGCATTGATCATGAACAATTTCAATGCCAACTGGACAAAGGCAAATTCAATGATGTGCGCTTACAATGAATTTGGTAGGGTTATCTAGTGGCACTGCCATATGATGGTAAATGTTTCTGAGTGGTAATCATGATTTATGGAGGAATATAGATTTATGAATACAGAGTTCCATGGGTCCGGATGTACTGATGACTCATCTGATTAGCAAACAAAGAAATACAGCCGGTAATTCACCCTTAGATTGATTGATCATATTGGATCACAGGTGAAAAGATTTTGGAATCGCTGAAACGTGACATTGATGTGCATGCAGTGTACAGGTATTCGTGTAGAATGATGTATTGGAGAAAGTCTCGCTCAATATATATACATATATAGTCAGCTACCTGGTGTCTTCCAGCAGGGCCTGAACATCATAGCCTGTGTAATGACTAAATATTTCACACACAATTTAGCTGTGAGTATATTTTGGTTACATATTGAAACTTTATAATAAATGTAAAGAGACTTATAATTGTGATCTGTAAAGTATTAACACAAAAAATGACCTTTTTAAATGTTAAAAGATGTGAAAAATGTTTTTTATTAAAAATTCTTATTCAAGTAACAAACTTTAACCCTTTCACCACTTTGGACCACAATGGACTAATCCAGATAAATGTAGAGTAGAGTCTACTAAAGTAATCTAGGGGTGAAGGGTTCAAGCTAACAAAGCTTTGATCAGCTGATGTAACAGACCGATGAATACTTTCTCTCTGTGAAGCTACTTGACTGACTAGTTTAGTTCTGTTTGTTTTGAAGCATGAATCATGCAATAACAGTGAATGTATCTGTAGCCTCCATTGGGATTGAATGTACATGTATGATCACTCAAGAATGCATAAGAATGTTGATCACTCATGGGAGGTTACTCATAGATTACCAAGAACAGATTTTTCATGAAGGTTACTCAGGGGAGATAACTCAAGGGAGGTAACTAAGGTGATGTTAGTTTAGGGGAGATTACTCAAGGGGAGTTACTTGGGGAAAATCAGACAAGCCAGGACTGTGATTGTCTGGAGGTGGTGATGGTGTGAGTTTTCAAAGTAATTGTGTTAATTCAATTCAGTTAAGATGATTTTATTTTCTTCAGGCTTAAAATACTTGTTGTAAATCATAAAGGCTGAAGCCTAACTTTTAGGCCTAGTACTCATCTTTTCTTTTACTGTAAAACTACTGAACTCAGATGCATGTATTTTGATATTATCTAGATACAGTTATAATAGAGTAAATCTTGTTCACTACACTGCAACCATTTATCCTGCCAAATGTTTGCATTATGAATTAGGGTTTGCGGTGATCAATCTACAGTATATTTGTATGGGTCCTTCTCAAGTGTATTGCTAAAAACAATGGGTCCCACATTGCGAAATTTCAGTATTTCCAGAAATTCTACCAGTATAAGACTCGACTCTTGTGTACATTTATCACTGGATTTGAGGGAGACATAAAGGAACCATTCAGAAAGAGGAGGCAATGAAATATATATATATTATGTATGTAGGCAGTAAATGAGGGATATAATACAGAGGTTTTATTTGACATTTTGTTTGCTAACTAGGAAGGAGCCGCGGTGGCCAAGTGGTTAAGGCGTCTGACATTCTACTGCCACTAGCTCCCCACCACTGGGCCGCGGTGGCAAAGTGGTTAAGGCGTCTGACATTCTGCTGCCACTAGCTGCCCACCACTGGGCCGCAGTGGCCAAGTGGTTAAGGCGTCTGACATTCTACTGCCACTAGCTCCCCACCACTGGGCCGCGGTGGCAAAGTGGTTAAGGTGTCTGACATTCTACTGCCACTAGCCCCCCACCACTGGGATGCGGTGGCCAAGTGGTTAAGGCGCCTGACGTTTTACTGCCACTAGCCCTCCACCACAGGGTCGCGGGTTCGAGGCCTACATCGGGCAGTCGCCAGGGACTGGCCATAGGTCAGTGGCTTTTCTCAGGCTTTCTTCCACCACCTAAATCTGGCATGTCCTTAAATGACCATAGCTGTTAATAGGACATAAAACACCAAAGCTAACTAGGACTGTTGGAAATGGAAGTTATAGACCCCTAACATACTGTGTATACAGTACAGTGTCTGTCTGAGGACTGTCAGTCTGTGAGGTGTTGATAGGTATTGCTCATTACATATTTTTATAGGTGATGCGTGCTGTGGTAGACACATGTAAATCGTTATACACTGGAATACATATAACTGACCCATTTGTCTGTGTAACCGTACTACTGCCTTTGGAGTCATTTGTACCAGAGGACTTGGTGTGATCTAGATCGGTGTTGGGGGAATAGTTATATATTGATGTACAAAAAGTGTTGTGATTTACATCAAATGGAGAATTAGCTAAAGAAAACTGTGTGAGTCAAGAATACCTCATTGCAGTTTTGTTGTTCATCAGTGTATATATGGGTGATGGTGTTTTGGAGCTGTTCATTTGAATTCCAGGTGATATCAAGATGCCCTATTAGAGTCTAACATTCGTTACATCTATACCGGTATATCAGCGATGTAAAGTGGTTATGGATAATGAAGATCAATCTCGGGAAGTTTCTCATTCTCATTGTGATGGAGGAACATTTTAGTGATGAGCTCTTTTTTCTGCTCTGACCTTGACATTTGCTGTTTGCATTGATTACACCTGTGATCCTGTTTGACAAAGTTCAGCTGGTATATGGTGACCTTTGCCCTTTGACATGCATGGTGCCTTGACCCCTTGGATGAGATCATTTCTGGAATTATTGACAATTAATAGGATTTAAGTGTGACCTATTTTAAGTTATTTGTGGTTGACACTGATTAACTCAGACAGCACCTATGAGTTAATAGATTCAAGTATATGTTCAAGGTCATACATTAGTTTGTGACCTTGACCTTTGCATTTGGTGACCTATGACCTAACAATGGCTGAGGTGGGTGTGGTTCAGTGTGTGGGATGTGACCTTGCGGTATACAGACTGGCCTGTGGGTGTGTCCGCTACGGTTACCAAAGTAACAGGGTCCTTCCGTTCTTATCTTGGCAGCAACAGCTCCATGCGTATGTGGCCTGGGTCAATTCGCAGCTCAAAAAGAAGCCAGGGATCCGGCAGGTGGAAGATCTCCGTAATGACACCAAGGATGGCGTGGTACTGGCCGAACTCATCGAAATTGTGGGTATGTATGCCTATAATATAAAATATGATGAAATGTTTGAGGTTTCAAAAAATTAATTATGTTGGAAAATTTATTTGACTTTAATAAAGTTATTATTAATTGTCATGCTAGGATATAAAATATTTCTAGGACTACAGTACTAGTGGTGTTTATAATGACTGGTAAGTGTAAAGTATTTTTCAAATCTTGTTAATTTTCTTAAACATAAAATTGAACTACATATGTAACAGTATGGTGACTAAATATTACACGACTTGATGTCACGTTTGGCTGCTATGTATACTGACATGCAGGGATGCAACTCTACAATAGACTGATATTCCTATGGAGGGAAAACATTGATTCTGTGTTATTTTACATGGGCCACTCTGGGCTCTGAACGACTTTGTATTTAACTTGGACTTTTCAATAACAAGAGGCAGTTAGCCAAAATGACAGATTCAGTCCCGATTTTGGATAGTTCATATGACCCTTTACTAATGTATAGTTACAGAAATTAAAGTGGCTGGTCAAGGGTATACAATACCAGTAGCCCAAAGGCACAGCTAGTACACGTTGATTTTGTCTTGGTCGGTGAAAATTCCAATATTAGCTAGGGAAACAAGGGGCCTGTTCATTCCGAGCAACCAGTTTGTCTGTTCAAATATAACATTTTCGAGTATAAATCCTGGCAGAGCTGAAAGTGTTTATGCAGGCCTTGCAAGGCTTTGTCAAGGCTCGCCTGAAAGCAGCATCAGACTACTAGGTCCGACCTTATTTCCAAAACCAACAACTCCGGTCCAAGCGGTTTAACCGTTTGGATGGCGTTAAACCAACAACTCCGGTCCAAGCGGTTTAACCGTTAAACCAAAGCGGCCAAGGGTCATGCAAGTCAAACTCTTCAAAATCTGCCTGCAGGATGGTACCCTTGAACACCCCTGTGGTCATGTACATGTATGTCATGTTAACTGTTTTGAAGTTGAACACCCCTGTGGTCATGTACACGTATGTCATGTTACCTGTTTTGAAGATGAACACCCCTGTGGTCATGTACATGTATGTCATGTTACCTGTTGTGATAAAAGTTGGTGTTAACCTGTAACTGTATGTTGTAGCGGGTGACAAACTCCCGGGAATCCACGTGGTGCCGTCCAACTATGGGGAAATGAAGGAGAATGTGGAAAAGGTTCTCAATTATATGTCCGCCAACAGGATCCGCATGCACCACGCGTCCGCGAAAGGTGAGGGACAATTCTACATTATTACCATATTTATCCATTAATAAGCCCATGCCTGGTATTAAGCCCACCCATATCTATTGCAGTTTAGTTGAAATACACAAAATGCTGTTTCATTGTTCTGTAGTTAGCTCGTAGAGTGAGAGATTATGTGTTGTTCTGTAGTTAGCTCGGAGAGTGAGAGATTATGTGTTGGCCCTACTATGCTTATTGCAGATGCAACCTGATCAAAGACTTTTTTGCAGTCTTCATATAGAACCTGTCTAATGAATCCACCCTTCAAACTCTGTAAAGTTTCCTCGGAGACCTCTCTGCAGAAACTAGTATTTGTCCCTCATACAACTCATGCCTGCAAAGAACACCCTGATTATTTTATATTATAAGGAGACCACACCTTATCTGTAACATGTCAAAGAACACCCTGTATAAGGTGGAACCTGTCCAAAAAGACCCCTCTGTACAATGCTGAATCTGACTGAAGATATTTTCTATTTATAGAATAGTATACACTGTTGCCTTGGAGACTGTAATTTATACAATAGAACCTGTGTAATGACACCATTGTATCTGTAGATACTTTATAATTCTGTATTTTAACTCTGTAATGTTAATGTGTATCCCATGTTGTTTTTGCCGACAGATATCGTGGAGGGTAACCTGAAGGCCACAATGAGGCTGATATTGGCATTAGCGGCACACTTCAAACCACACAGTGTCAAACATTCGTCACAGCATTTAAACCGCTCTTCAGTAGGATCTCCTCATGCTGTTGGGATCGCGCAGGTACGACACGTCTCATTGGTCAAATCAGTTGTTTTTACTTTGGTACAGCGCTTTTGATTGGATTAAATGTTATTTCTTATAAGGCACTTCTTATTGGTCAAATTCATTATTAGTTTGGTACAGCGCTTCTCATTGGTCAGATCTGTTGTTTTACTTTGGTACAGCTCTTTTGATTGGATTAAATGTTATTTATTGTATGGCACTTCTCATTGGTCCGATCTTTTGTTGTCACACTGGTACAACACTTCTTATTCACCAGATTTGTTAGCTTTTTAAGTCATTTGCGCATGAAATATTTGTGGAGATCTTAATATACATGTACTTAACTTTTACCTTTAGGGGGCGTCAGCTGCTCTCGCTGAGGCCAGGCGGACCGCATCTAAGGCAGGAAACAGTTTCCGTAGCAACCGATCTCGTTACAATAACAGTGAACGAAGGTATGTTTCTCTTTCAGAATTTCAAATGTCCAATCTTGTATTTATCAAAATGGCTTTGGTGAGATCAAATATCCAAACCGGTATTTATTAAAATGTCTGTCATATTGTGGAATGTCCAAACTTGAGTTAATTGAAGTGGCTTTGATCTGGTCTAAAAAGGTAGTTGTTATTACTTGCTAAATATTCTGCATTAGCTGGTTAAGTATCCGTTGTCAGTACATGTATTATGTGACTGGATATGGAACTCTGTGCTGGGTGCCTTCGGCATAGTATTTCATCAAGGCAGCACTTTAAAATTGGTATTAGATCTCTACTATCGCAAGGAGGCAAATACAATAACATCCACACATGTATTACACATATAGGGGCACGTCCTTATGTGACCTTAGCTGTTAATAGGACGTTAAATAAGATCATACCAAACCAAACCTTGGTCTGGTAGTGATACCATGATGGATACTTGGACTGTTATATCTCTTACCCTGGACAGGCCTATCCACGACTTTACCAGTGTGAGATATTCTTTTTTCTTACCCTGGACAGGCCTATCCACGAATTTACCAGTGTGAGATATCCTTGTTTCTTACCCTGGACAGGCCTATCCACGAATTTACCAGTGTGAGATATCCTTGTTTCTTACCCTGGACAGGCCTATCCACTTTACCAGTGTGAGATATCCTTTTTTCTTACCGCGGACAGGCGTATCCACGACTTTACCAGTGTGAGAAATCCTTTTTTCTTACTCTGGACAGGCGTATCCACGACTTTACCAGTGGGAGATATCCTTTTTTCTTACCCTGGACAGATTTATCCACGACTTTACCAGTGTGAGATATCCTTGTCTCACTTTAGGGTTTAGAATGGGGATCCCCTTTTCATAACAATGGTTAATGACGTAAACAATACAATGACGTCATGTCAACAATCATCCACGACTTTACCAGTGTGAGATATCCTTTTTTCTTCCCCTGGACAGGCGTATCCACGACTTTACCAGTGTGAGATATACTTTTTTCTTACCCTGGACAGGCCTATCCACGAATTTACCAGTGTGAGATATCCTTGTTTCTTACCCTGGACAGGCCTATCCACGAATTTACCAGTGTGAGATATCCTTGTTTCTTACCCTGGACAGGCCTATCCACGAATTTACCAGTGTGAGATATCCTTGTTTCTTACCCTGGACAGGCCTATCCACGAATTTACCAGTGTGAGATATCCTTGTTTCTTACCCTGGACAGGCCTATCCACGAATTTACCAGTGTGAGATATCCTTGTTTCTTACCCTGGACAGGCCTATCCACGAATTTACCAGTGTGAGATATCCTTGTTTCTTACCCTGGACAGGCCTATCCACTTTACCAGTGTGAGATATCCTTTTTTCTTGCCCTGGACAGGCGTATCCACGTCTTTACCAGTGTGAGATATCCTTTTTTCTTGCCCTGGACAGGCGTATCCACGTCTTTACCAGTGTGAGATATCCTTTTTTCTTGCCCTGGACAGGCGTATCCACGTCTTTACCAGTGTGAGATATCCTTTTTTCTTGCCCTGGACAGGCGTATCCACGTCTTTACCAGTGTGAGATATCCTTTTTTCTTGCCCTGGACAGGCGTATCCACGTCTTTACCAGTGTGAGATATCCTTTTTTCTTGCCCTGGACAGGCGTATCCACGTCTTTACCAGTGTGAGATATCCTTTTTTCTTGCCCTGGACAGGCGTATCCACGTCTTTACCAGTGTGAGAAATCCTTTTTTCTTACTCTGGACAGGCGTATCCACGACTTTACCAGTGTCAGATATCCTTTTTTCTTCCCCTGGACAGGCGTATCCACGACTTTACCAGTGTCAGATATCCTTTTTTCTTCCCCTGGACAGGCGTATCCACGACTTTACCAGTGTCAGATATCCTTTTTTCTTACCCTGGAAAGGCGTATCCACGACTTTACCAGTGTGAGAAATCCTTTTTTCTTACTCTGGACAGGCGTATCCACGACTTTACCAGTGGGAGATATCCTTTTTTCTTACCCTGGACAGATTTATCCACGACTTTACCAGTGTGAGATATTCTTTTTTCTTACCCTGGACAGGCGTATCCACGACTTTACCAGGGTGAGATATCCTTTTTTCTTACCCTGGACAGCCCTATCCACGACTTTACCAGTGTGAGATATCCTTTTTTCTTGCCCTGGACAGGCGTATCCACGTCTTTACCAGTGTGAGATATCCTTTTTTCTTGCCCTGGACAGGCGTATCCACGTCTTTACCAGTGTGAGAAATCCTTTTTTCTTACCCTGGACAGGCGTATCCACGACTATACCAGTGTGAGATATCCTTTTTTCTTACCGTGGACAGGCCTATCCACGACTTTACCAGTGTGAGATATCCTTGTCTCACTTTAGGGTTTAGAATGGGGATCCCCTTTTCATAACAATGGTTAATGACGTAAACAATACAATGACGTCATGTCAACAATCCATCAACATCACGTCAACCCTGAATTTATCCTGTAATGTTAATATTACTTTATGCATATGATACACAATGGGTGAACAGGGTAAGAGAAAAAGAATCATTCACCTCCTTGAGGGTGAGATAGGGGAATCTCAACCCTCGGGGGTGGGGAAAGATCCTTAAGCTGCCGAACACTGGCAAGAACACTGGCAAGGCGTTGTGTTTGGCAACTTTCAGAATCTCCCCCCTGGGGGTTGAGATTCCTCTATCACACCCCAAGAGAGGAAAGATTCTATTAATCTGTTGATAACTATAAAGTATGGTAGTAAGGTCCGACTCAGAGTTGGGCTTCACAGAGACAATAAATAGATTGAGTGTATTGGCTTGGCTGGAGGATTTTATAGCTACTAAGGCCATGATAGTAATTTATTCATGAGAATACAGTAGTTTTTGTTATTCAGTGGACAATCTCTCTTGTTACTTGATTAACCCATTAGGAAGTACACTGTATATATATTATTACGATATTTCCTGATATTTTTGGTGATATTATCATAATGGGATATTGTTGGTGTGGGTATTGTGTTATTAGCCAAATTACTCTTAGTCTTGTTAGCTTGAAAACGAATAAAACAAAATTGTATCTGTTGACATTATAAAATGTATTGCAATCCTGAATAATTTTAATCAGCTCCTGTCAAGCTTGCCGAGCTTTTAGACTTGATTGCCAGCTTGTAGGTAGGGACCACCTGTTTTCCTGGCTGATAATGAACTATGTGTATAAAGCATTGTAAGTTTTACCTATGTTTAATTAAAACAAAGACATTTCCATATCATTTTTCGTGTTAAATCATAAAAGTATACAATGAGTCATACCAATATGTCTGAAAAAATGTATTTAAAAAGAAGCTGAGACGACTAGGTGATCCAATTATTTTCGTTTTTTTCTGTTGGAATGTTTGAGTCCATAATGCTAAAAACGAATACTGCACAGACCACTAACTTGCATTAGTGCCACCAGAACTGAAGTACAGCCAAAAATGGATCAATAATTCTGTGTGCGGATGTAATACAACATCGCCACTGCCAAAACTGTAATGGCAGACTCTAGGATATAGACGACCTAGCCAGCCTCGTACCGTATGTGTATCTCTTCGTAGGCCTTTTTGTCATCGTCGTTTTTCAGCCTCTGAATCGGTCGTACATGGAAAGGCCCGTGACTTTATTGCTGTCGCAAGAACCCAGGTTAGTTAGAATGGACCTGTCATCGGGTCGCCGGTGTCTACCTATAGGTGGCAGCACTGCCTATTGTTATCGTGGTATATGATACATATACCGGACTTCTGATGTTATAGTGTTGTCGACTTCGAACTTCTGTGTTTTGACAATAATTGGATTGCCTCCTTTAAATTTCTGTCCCCTATTCCACCACACCGCAAAATTTTAATGATTTAACAGATGAAGGGTCCTATACTTCTGAAATTAGCCCTTAGAACAAAGAGAATGATTTTGGTACACTTTTTAAAGTGGCTCGGCACATCTTTCTCAATATTTAATTGCCAAAGATATTTCTGCATCATGTCGGTTGGTGTTATATACCTTGCATGATATAGACTTTTCATAACTAGGAATAGTTCCAATTTCACATATTTAGAAGAACAAATTCTAATTATTACATTTTAATGTACATAAATACCTCTTCCTACTTTCCAAATACTTGTATATCTACATTAGTATACCTGGTACATGTGATGAAATTTTCAGGTAGTCTGTATATTAAGGAATGTCTGTGATATAATTGTGTTGTAGTTATCAAAGATAATTTGATCGCCGCAAGAGTTGAAATTCTAGCTTTTGGAAATTTTTCAGTTTTGATTCTTCAAATTTTGTACAAAGATTTTGAGAAATGATACATTTTCCTTGCCTATTTACTATGTTTTGAGGGGAAACATGACAGAAAATAATAATCATATTGTTTGGCCTTAACAGAAAATAAACAAAAAAAATCCGCGGTGTAAGAAATTCTACTTGCCAGATATAAGGACGTGTGACCTTATGACAGTATAATACACCTACAGGTAGAGGTGGCCCATACTATATATATACACGTCGACAGACATGTCCTCAGGCTTGTGATACATCTCCTCCACACCCACCTAGGCCACAGATGAAGGTTACAAACATGCTCTAAAGTGTTATTAGAGTTATTTCAGAGATAAGAACTAACGCTGAACGTTATCTTTTTACAAATGATGTTACACAACTAATTCCAGTAACATGAAAACAACATAGGATGTCTATTTTTTCTGCCATGATTAAATTTGAGCCCCTGTAGATCTAAATGTGTGATTTAGCAGCTTTTAAACAAACAATGATAACATGTAGATCCACTTGACTCATTCACTCCTGAAATTTCATAATGAACTATTCCAACCATTGAATTGGAAGAGTTCAAATGTGTCTTTAGGGGGTTAAAGGGACATCACGTGAAAAGGCGATTATTTTTTAATGAATGTATGTATTGTATGCACTTCCACTTATGTTACCACG